GTATCGTCTCAGAGTCTATCATCAGGCAAAACTCTGATCATCACTGAAGCTGGCTGACAGGGCTCAGGACTTACTGTAACTCTATTGTTGTGGACATTTTAAATTGCTCATAACCAGAAAGGTTAAAGATTATATCCTAAACAAGTTCTTAGATTTTATTTTAATTGCAGGGTGACTGGGTGGCTCAGTTGGTTAAACGGCTGCCTTCGGCGTGGGTCGTCATCCCAGAGTCCTGGGATCGAGCCCCATATCAGGCTCCCTGCTTGGTGGGGAGCCTGCTTCTCCCTCTCCCTCTGCCTGCTGCTCTGTCTACTTGGGCTCTCTCTGTCAAATAAATAAATTCTTTTTAAAAAAATTTTTATTTTAATTGCTAATTGCTACTTTAGATAAAAATCAACAGAAACCATAATAAAAACTAAAGCTTATTTTCACATGCCAAAACAGTACATATGAAAGAAACCAAAAGCAACGTCTCCGGTTCCTGGGGAAGGCGGCAGCAGACACGCCCTTGGGTCATCTCCGGGTGGTTCAAAGAGCAGCACACAGATGTGACACACAATGGAAACAGCTTCTCTAATTTTAAAATGAGGGCTCCCTGAATGTGGTGATGCTGACTCAGGTCCTCCCCGGACGCCCGTGTTTTTAACCGCTCTCAATTTCCTGTATGTTCTCGCGACCACCTGCCAGGCCGACACACAGGGTGGCTGAAGACAGACGCCCAGACGCTTCGCTCTGGGGAGGTGGCTGGAACTGCCACCAAGTGCAAGGACAAGGGCGCCCCGAGTCACCACCCAAATGATTCACAGGTAAAGTACAGAAGCGAGGTGAACCCCTAGGATCACGCTGCTCGCTCCTTCTGTCCAGAAGCCACCTCTGAAATGACTGGCTTCCGGGGCCACTGGGCGCCACTATCAGTCCGCAGGGACAGTGGATGGGGCCAGCCCCTCAGCAACCACTCTCACTGCTCAGCTCCCCGATGGGCCTGAGAGGAGCCGCAGGCAGGCGGACAGCAACCCGGAGCACGTGCTGAAGCCCACGCCAGCCCCAGAGACCCGAGTCCACAATCCCAGACCTTCTAACCTAACGGGCTCCCGGGCTCTCTACCCCAGGCACCGCAGCTGGGGAGCACGATTCAGATCCAACACTCATGTCTATGCGTCCACGTTCCCAACAAGGTAAGCTGCGAATGCAGGGGGCATTTCTGTACCTCACTCATCACTTTCAACGCTTCGAGTAAGTTCTGACCCGACCACACTATTGGCTCTGCCATCCACAAAGGAAATTCTGTGTTGGAAGACCGTCCACCATTTAGCCAGACTCCCTAAGTGCCCGAGACCCACCCCCTAACTGCTCCCCAGGACTGAAAGATCTTACTTTGGTAGCCAGCAGTTACAGGGGCCACACTTGCTCAAATTCCAACCACCACAAGTCTGCTGTGAACCAGCAAGTGCCTGTCTCACGCCACGTACGTTGTTGTATAAACAACTCCTGCCCCTCTTCCCCTACTCTATTTAGTACCGTCCTAGAAAAGCAGTTCCCTTACTCTGTTTTCAGCATAAAATACTGATTAAACCAAAGTGACTGTCTTTTCACAAGATGCCCACCAGCAAAGAGAAGAAAAAGCTGCTTTTCTGGGATGCGCTGCTTAACACAAGTTCTGTGGCAGAACCGCCACTGCGGGCTCAACAGGAGAGAAAAACAGCCACGAGCGTCTGTCTTCCACCCAAATCGCACCAGGTTCTCAGGTTACTCCGTCTACACGTGAACAGCTGTCCACAGAAGCCTCCCAGAGCCGAGGGCCTTGCAAACGCTGCCCACTTCCTGGTGTGGAGAGCAGTTCCTCACAAGCTGAGGAAGACGTCGTCTCGGTTTTGATGGGCTCAAGTCAGGCAGCACCAGGCTCCATGCTCAACTAGGCCGCGTGCTCCCCGCGGACACCACCACTCTGCAGACGGGCCGCGAACACGCTCCCTGCGCAGGCACCGTGTGGGCGCCGTGAGGCCTCTGTGCATTAAAGGACTCAGGATTCCTCTACAGGGCTGCCACCCAGGGACTTGAGTAAGTGGAGGAGGGCGTTTCTCTCCGTCCTCGTCACTGTCAGTGACTAACGTCTTAAACAGAAAAGTGCTCTCCGGAAATCTCTCTACTCAGTGCATAAAAGCCCCGGCCCATTCTCTAAATGCGCGTCAGGGGCAATACACCAACACCTGGAAGCAGAAATGCATTCCACGATGCCAACAAGGGGAAGAAAGCAGCAGATTCCCACCTGAAAACCGGAAACACAACTACGACAGGTGAACTGACCTCAGAGGCCGCCCAATCGTACCTTCCCTTCAAAATCCACCGCTGACCCTTGAACAAAGCGGACTGGGGCACTGATCCCCATGTAGTCGAAAATCTGGGTGTAACTTCGGACTCCCTCAAACTTTAACAGCTTGGCTGGAAGCCTTACTGATAGCCAGAACAGTTAGCTAGCCTCTACTCCACACGGCCTTCTTACCACCCAGCAGCCTGGAGAACAGTGTTACGAACACAGTCCTAAGGAAGACAACACACACACACGGCATGGTCCCGCGTTTACAGAAATAAATGCAGGTGCGTGTGGACCCGTGCAGTTCCGGCCCAGGCTGTTCGCTGCGACGCATTTCCCAAATCACCTCCGACGAAACCAGGAGACGCTGGTCACCAACTTGTTCCCAAAATGCAGTGAGAGGCCCAGCCACCAGGAGGCACGGAAGCTTTTTCCATTTACTGGAAAAGCAGAAACAAGCCACCGCTATGTGATTTCTGGGCGCCACGGTGCTCCAACACAGTAGACCCGAGTCCCCGTCGGCACGCGTCTCCTGAGTGTCCCTGGGGCTCCCTCCAGCAGGCAGAGGCGTCCACACGTGGGGTTCCCGCTCAGCCCCACTAGACTGAGGCATGGGTCAGTCCTGCATGCCTGACTCGCTTGCCGGAGGCCCACAGTGGAGGCGGGCATGGCTCCAGGCCTTCTTTTCCGTGTGCTTTCCATAAACATGGCACTTGTGGAGAGGGCCCGTCCTGATCCACGTCAGCGTTCTTAGGCCCGGTAAGCGCAGGGCCAGGCAGATGGGAGGAGCGTGCCGAGGCGCCCAGCTGAGCCACCAGCTTCCTGCTTCGCACCAGCTCCCGGGTAGAGGCCCCGCCACAGGCGGTGAGCAACGGCCACTCGTAGTGCCTTGTGCAGACCTGCGTGTCCTCGGTGTTTGCGTCCGACCGCCTTCAGATGTGTGCAGAGGTGAGAAGACAAGGGCCAACGGGAGCAGCCTTCCCTTTCTTTCCGGCTCCCTCTGGCTACAGAGTACCTGGGTCACAGGCCTCTACTCTCTCAACGGAACGAGCACCAGGTCAAGCTCCGCACACGGGAGTGCACAGGGGTCAGACGCCTTCAGCTGGTACACATACCAACAGCCCAGTTTTAAAATCGGGTGTTTATTCCTTGTGCTCTGGGAGGAGAAACAACCAGCACCTCGGAAGCAGGAGTTAATGGATGACCACGGTGCTGCAGGTGAGGCTTGTGAAATCCTTGCACAAACCCAACAAGGCCCAAAATCCTAACTAAAGGACCTTCTAGTCCTACCCGGCAATGTGTAAAATGGCTAAAACTGAATGCGCATTACATCCTTAAAGCCAATCATTTTTAACGGATTGGCAAAATTTATTTTGCATGAACTGTTCCGGTCCTGCAAAGTTAACATGTCCCTTGCCTCTCTTCCACTGTAGTTACGTTTCTAGCATTACCTACTATTTAAGGCCTGTATTTGTTTGGTTACCTTCCGCTTAGACCGTGGCACGGTTTACCACTCACGGTAATGCTATGGTAGGATAACGAGGGGAGACAGTAACATGAATTGCCACGTCCCTGGATGTGGCAGAAGCATGAAGGTAAGGGGCAAATTCACGGAATCTGGAAAATGCTTTCTCAAACCTCAGGGACACATACACTCACCTCAACGTCACACCTTTCTATTCCAGGTCATTTCTTGAACTACACATGACAGATATTTACACGTCCACATGTGCCCTGAAACAGGAGGCACGTGTGCACCGACCACCGACCATTACCAACAGGCGCCTCGTGCTCTTCAGCCCCACAGGTGGTGGCTGCGTGCTCACGAGCCTCTCAGTATGAATAATTTGGAAAGAAAGGCTATAATGAGAGGCTCAGGATGTGCTAGCTGGGGTCAAAGGGTCTCTTCCAGAGTTAATGGTCTACAATTAAGACTCAAAACAATTAGAACGGGTTCGTTAGAGCAATGTCCGTGGTGCGACAGCAGCAAACCAGAACCTGGTGGGTACTTGTGAAATCTATTCGATGTAATTCAGTATAAGCACAGTATTGTCATTTAAGATCGTATCCCAATTTTCTTTCTAAATGTAACTATATCATACACAAAGATTTAAGGGAGAAAAAGTGGCTTCTTTACTCTGGTACCTACAGAATTTAGGATTTATAACATACTGGTCACTTAAAATCCATGGCTTTTTAATTATCTTTCAACATGCGTATGTGTTCCCTAAATTACAAGCTTTTCATTTATTTGAAAATGTTATAAAGCGGTGAGCGAGTGCACCTGTCAGCATGCTCGCCAGACCCTCAAGCATGAGCAAAGGCCTCCGTCCACAAGGAGCTCCTTGTCCAACAGATCGGAGACTGAGGAAAGAACTTGCATGCCAAGAGCGTACAGCCCTTCCAAGGAGAGGAGCAGGAGGGCTCACCACGCGCCTGCCTCCCTCAGTGGACACCTCCTGCCGTCAGTCCAGCCCCTCGGAGCTGGAGGGGAAATCATGACCCAGAGGCTTTAAGAGGTGGATGGACAGGCCTAGGCAGCCACAGGCCAGGCCAAGGACAAGGGAGAAAACATGCAGTGCGGCAAGACCTTCTCAACCCAGGGGAGAGGGCATCACGCTGCATCTCAGACCCTACGTCACCCATGGTGACAACCCGCTATCTAAAAGCAAGTTTCAGGGGTGCTTACTTGTGGGATGTCCTTTTCTTCATCATACTTGCAGACACACCAGCATGGCCTAAAAGAGAAGTGAATATAAGTCAATAAAAACTGGATAGAAAATACTTCAAAACTTGGAAAAAATTAACCTCTGAAAACCACCGCATAAAGCATGAAATGAAAATAAACCATAAACAAGCCAACATGCAGAATGCCATCTGTTTATCTAATTCTTAAAAAAGAGATAAAAGGAGTTCTGGGAAGATAAAATGACAGGGACAACAGCTCATCTCCCCAGATCACCCTTAAAAAACCACCCCAAACCACATGGACAAAAACCAAAGAAGTAAGCAACGATCTAGCCATAAAGTATGACGCATCTGGAGGTAGGAAGGCGTCTGAACGGTGTTCAAAGTCCGCTGAGACACCTCTTTGGACCCGTGTGGTAAAAACCACAGAGATGGCTCCTCAGCAGGAAGGCTGAAGGAGCCCCAGGAATCAAAGCTGCTACAGCCCATCTGGGCATCTGTGGATGGGAACAAACTCAGAGGGCAGCGACAGGGTCACGACGCACCACAGCTCATCCCCAACGCAGAGTGGCGGACTGGACCCCTCACCCCCGTGGGTTATCACCAGACAACGTAAGTAACAAAGATATTAAAAGTGCTATAATAAACATGCTCACATATTTAAAGGAAGACACACACAACACTTAAAAATGAAGAAAGAAAGGACTGGAATGAAACTGGTGGAAAACACAGGTCTGAAATGAAGATCAGCGAACGTGGTGAGCCACGGACCAGATCCCACAAAGACCAGTTCCACGACGATGAGGAAGAACAGGGACAGGAACAGCCTCAGTGGCCGAATGCACAGTAAACTGCACCTACGACAGAGAGGACGGCACGGGAAAGAAGAAACAACTCTGGAAGAAGCGAAGGCAGTGGGCCCTCCAGATGTGCTAAGTATGCAACCTCACGGCCAGCGAGCTCACCGACACCAAAGACAACCATGCCAGAGCACGTCCTCATCCCATCTCTGAAAACCAGCAACCAATAATAAAAGACTTTTAAAAGTTCCTGACAATGCAACACACATTAAAGGTAGGGAAATAAAGGCAATACTGACTCCAGATTCATTGTCAGAAACAGCGGAGCCATACAGAAGACAATGGGGTGAACCTGTGGACTCAGCACACGTCCAGCCCCGGCAGCTCCCAGGCCAACGGAACAGAGAACCACGGCGAGCACAGACCCCACACGCACCAACTCAGAGACGAGATGGAAAGGACGGCACAGTGGCTAACACCACACAAGTTAACTTCAAGACAAAGTCACTGAGGATCAAGACGACATTCAAGATGGTAAGAGCCAAAGAACCAAAAAGCCCCTACATTTCACCCCAGCCCGAACATGTGTGGACCTCGTCCCAGAACAGTGAAGGACACAAGCAAAACCGGACGGGGCTGGCAGGACGGAATCACCCACAATCACATGCACCCATCTGAGCTCCTCCCTCCGTAATGGACGTAACGCATGGGCAGAAAATCGGCAGAGACACGGAAGACCCGAACTCCACAGACAGCCAACACGTACTTTTTCCCAAGTTCACATGAGACATTCACCCACACACCATCTGCTCCTTGTAACACAAACCCTCCATGCACTTAAAACAACATGAAATCATAAGAAGTTTGTGCTTTGGCCACATGAGAATTAAACGAGAAATAAATAGTATCTGGAAATGCCTGTGTTTTTGAAAATTAAATAACAATCTTCCAGAAGTCCACAGTTCAAAGACAAAACCACCATGAAACTGGATCTTGAAAAACAAACAAATGGAAACACAATCCGTGGAATGCAGCAAACACGGTACTTACTACAGTGATCAAAATTCACACTGAGCAGCAAAAATAAACAGAAAACAAAGACTCTCTGACCACAGGCTCAGCATGGTGGTTCCCCAGGCCGAAGGCAGGCAGGTTATCCACAAAGTTCTCTCTCCTTGGCCTTACATGGAAGAGTGTGATGTAAACACACATTTCCTTCCCAGTATCCCATTCACAACTGTCAAGTTAAGTGAACAGGGGCAGAGATGGCCGACTGGTCTTTGCAGGATGATCTGTCACTATTCCCAGGTGACGCCGCAGGGCCGCCCTCCTTCCACACGCAGCCAGCTCAGGGATGACAGGAGGGCACAGCCTAGAAAGACGGCAGAGTCCCCCGGAGCGCTGTGGAACATGGCAAGGCTTGGGGTAGAAGATGAGGAGAGACATGCACACAGACAGGAAGGACTCGCTCAGGGTCTGCTGGGCCTGCCCCAGACGTCAGTGAGCCCTCCCCTCCCATGCGAGGACACCGGGCCAGGACAGCAGACTCTGCATCTGGGCTGCCCTGGCCCGCAAGTCCCCATGCGTCCTCATGGAGCTCTCGTCCCCAGCTGGAGGGGCCCCTGGCAGAAACCATCTGCTAGTGATCACTCAGGAAACGCCTCCACGGCGGGTGTGCTGTCGGACGAGCAGCCGTTTATGAAATGATCCCCGAGCCACACGGATGAAGGGAAAGCATGGGTGTCCTCATGGAAACTGAGGGTATCACGGTCACTATGCGGGAACAAGAGGCTACCAAGATGGAAGGCAAAGAGCTCCTGAAAACTGAACGCCATGAAGGGGAGAATGAGCTATTTCTGTGCTGCACCCCAACAAACAGAAGCTGAACTGGCAAAGAGTCAACCAGTCTCCTTCGGCTGGTCAGAGCCGCCAAGTCCCAGCAAACCACCACCCCGAGCCGGGAGCCACCCCCGGGCGCGGACCACGCCAGCTCAGCAGGAAAGGCCGAGCAGCAACTGCCCAGCGGCCGGGGCCTCGGGGTGGAAAAGGCTGGGACGAAGCCTCCGGCCACCAATCGTGCCAAGGGGGCGCAGGGCACCAACGCGCTGGCACGTCTCACGTCCAGGAACGCTGCCGGGTTCTCCAGGAAGAGAGAAAAACCCCCTCCTGCCTCCAGCAGGGGGAGGGGTAAGTCCCCATTCAGAAATCCAGCGAAGCGCTCAGTTCGCAGCAAGGCCTGCCCTCAAGAGCTCCACCTCGGCCTGGCTCAGAGCCCAGCGGGCCTGAGGGAAGGGGAATTCAAAGCGCAGCCGCCGTCCGGTCACCCTGCGGGAGGAGGTGGCCCACGGCACAGACACGTGAGAGCACATGCTACAGGCGCCCGACACGGCCCGCGTCGCAGCCACACGGCACTGCACGCTGGAAAGCAAACAACGTGGTGTGAAGAGACAGCGAGCACCTGGCCCAGACTCCGGTAAGACAGGGATGGTGGGACCATGAGACCAAGAGTTTTGAGTAACTATCAGTAACGAGCTAGGGGCTCTACCCAAAAAAAAAAGTATTCACCATGTGAGAAAAGATGAGTAATGTAAACAGAGAGAAAAATTTAAAGTCATGGCAGAGCTCATACACCGTAACGGAACTGAAGAATGTGTCTGGGGGACTCATGATGGAGAAAGCAGAATCATGGCAAGTGCTTGATTAAAAACCACAAAGGGCAGGGAAAGTGAAGAGGGAAAAGGAAGTAAGTACAGGGCAAGAACAGAGAGACAGTAAGAAACCGGCCGACATTAATCCAGCAATCACCAGAGGCTGCTGAGAAGACTCGCCGAGCTTCAGGACATGCCAAAAGAAACCTCCAAACCTGAAAAGCAAAGAGAAAAAAGACAAAAACAGGAAAAAACAAATCAAAATAACCAAGGACCATAGGACAACTACAAAGACGTAACATGTGCAATGGGAATGCCAGGAAGGAGGAGACGAACAGAGGAAGTATTAGAAGCAATAATGACTAATGATTTCCCCAAACTAAGGTCAAACACTAAACCAGAGATCCAGAAGTTCAGAGAATGCCAAGCAGGATAAATGCCCCCAAAACCACATATAAGGACACAAAGAAAAACTCCTGACAGAGCCAGAGGAAAAACACCTTATGTACAAAGGAACAGGGCAGGAATTATATCCAACGTCTCCTCAGAAATCAAGCATGCAGAGAGTGAAATACCTGAAGTGTTGGGGAAAAAATTAAAAACCTAGAATTTTATATTCTGTTACCCTTCAAGAGTGAAGAAGACTTGCTCAAACAAGCAAAAGGTGAAAGAATTTGCTGCCAGGAGACCTGCACTATAAGAAATGGGAAAAGAAATTCTTCAGAGAAAAGAAAAATACAGCTGAGAAACTCAAATCTACAGAAAGATCATTAGAGATGGAATCAGTGAAGATAAAACAAAAACTTCTATTTTGATTATTCTTAACAGAACTGGTAACATTTGTTCAGAATACTAGCAACAACATATGAGATGATTATAGCTTACTTATAAGTAAACTGGATGAGTTATGAATGTGTATCCTGCCAACTCTAGGGCAGTCTCTTAAAAAAACAAAAGAACGGGGCACCTGGGTGGCTCAGTGGGTTAAAGCCTCTGCCTTCGGCTGGTCATGATCTCAGGGTCCTGAGATCGAGCCCCAAGTAGGGCTATCTGCTCAGCAGGGAGCCTGCTTCCCCCTCTCTCTCTCTGCCTGCCTCTCTGACTACTTGTAATCTGTCTGTCAAATGAATAAATAAAATCTTAAAAAAAAAAAAAAAACAAACAAGGGCAATGAATAGAGAACAGTAATAAATACAGCAGATATTAATCCAATAATCACCTTAATATCAACGGTCTAAATACACCAATTAAAATATCAAGACGGTCACAGTGGCACAAAAAACAAGACCATATTGTACACTGTCCACAAGAAATCCACCTTAAAGATCTATTTAGATTAAAAGCAGACAGAAGGATGGGGTGCCTGGGTGGCTCAGTGGGTTAAAGCCTCTGCCTTCGGCTCAGGTCATGATCCCAGAGTCCTGGGATCGAGCCCCACATCGGGCTCTGCTCAGCAGGGAGCCTGCTTTCTCCTCTCTCTCTCTGCCTGCCTCTCTGCCTACTTGTGATCTCTGTCAAATGGATGAATAAAATCTTTATAAATAAATAAATAAATAAATAAATAAATAAATAAATAAAAGTAGACAGAAGGAAAAAGATACA